ATTTTCGTTATACTTGGCCAGGCATGCCTACAAACAAACCTCTGATTAGCGCATCGACATATTTATACCACATGACAAAATTGATAAACCAGTTTTCGGTTAATTTCAAAGATTCATACCTTCTCTAAGTCAAAACACATGATGATTCACTATTTCACTGTTTATCTTCCTGTTTATTTCCATACAAATAAACAGTCAGCAAAGAGCAAATGTGGCATTCTCACTATTGACTCAATGATTTTCACGTACATGGACAAACTCATCACTCGCTCATTCAATAAATCTGCATATATGTTTAATTTAACACAGGACATATAGTTTAATATATAATACAAGCAGTGATGTAATTTTGAATAAGATCAACTATATGTTGCAATTTATACATAGGAGAATTATTTATCTGTTCGAATTAATATTCTTTATCAATATCATCCAACTTCTTGATAAGTCGCATCCAGGACAGCGGAACATTCACGGAAGGTCATAGGACACATCGTCACCAAAACAAGTAGTTGTTTTAATCGGTCCCCTCTTAAGATAAAGCGGTAACCCATCCTTGACATCGATACCTACAATGCATCTCGGAAATTTGTCAGCAAATTTATCTAAGCTTCTTTTTGAGATAATGGAATCTGAAGCTGCTATTCGATTCACAAGCACGATCTCCATGTGGTTTCACTATGAGAGATCACAACAGTTAGAATATGCATAGTCAATCTAACAAAACTTTCATGAGTTTACGAAAGCAGATTAGATTTCCACACCTTTTACTGACGCCTGTCCTCGGTTCTATAACATATTGAAGATATCGTAAATCTTGTTTATTTATACTATGTACAATATATAAATACCATAAGCGAATGAAATCACGGAGAGATTAGTAATTTAATTAAGAGATTCAACTGACTTTTTTGTACATATGATAATCTTTTGAATAACTGATAATCATATATGTTTTTTGTACTAAGTTATCCTTCTAAGCTCCGACAAGGATCCCTACCACAATACGCTCCATCGAAGGTCCTACCAAGACTCTCCCACATGTCTAATTCTATTTATACAAGAGTCACAGATTACAGCTGTCTCATATCACCCAAGCAGAGTTAAATTAAAACTGTTTAGTAACTTATGGCTAATTAAGAAAGGAGCATTGTTTTATGAACTATACACTTTCGATGTGATTTTAATACATATGGTATTCCACTTATATATGGACCCAGCCCGTCCAGGTGTTTAAACATAGCCACTGTATAACACTTGTTTACAGGCTTAATATACGTTATGACCAGACAAAGTCGGGGGCACCTACTTTTAAAAGTAATTCTCTTTCAAACAAGACCACCAGTGAGAAGATTGGCCGTTTTTAATTTATATTAATTTATAATTAAACGAGTCGGCTCTTATCCACAGGAGCCACCAGAATCAACACTTCTCCTAAGAGCTTCAGTATTTACACGTTATGCAACATTATGTATTTCTACTTTACTACGTTTTAGAGAGGGGGACGTTTTTTAATTCCACTACATTTACCTGATAGCTGTAGCTGTTACTTTGCAAATGAAATGCTCTCTGCTCTCACACGGGTGTTTTCAATTACTCTGGCAGATTAGACAAGTCTAGTCGAGTGTAAGTTTGGTGGAGCTGTGCTGAGAATTACTTTATCAAGCACCGTTTGTACACACCAACACAGACACCAAGATTTTATACACTATATTATTGATTATTGATAGTTACTACACTATAAAGGTTAGAAACTAGTTAGAATCTGCTGCCTACACCTGCTGCTACATTTATTTAAAGTGTTATTTATGTTTAATCAGTAATAACAAATAAATTACATATTAATAACAAATATATTCTTTTATTTTTTATACATTTTTCTGATAATACTTACGTACATGTACTCAAGTAATATTTTGAATACAGGGCTTTTACTTAAACAGTAATTATTGCTGCTAATAACTACGTATTCAGATATAATGTACATATAACGTCATTGGAGGTGAAATCATACGATCACGTGTGACCTCCGCTTCAGATCAGAGTTTCAGTCCGTGCCTTGTTTTCTCGCCACGCTTCACCTCACTGAAGACAACCGGAGTTTTTAGGTCACCACTGCTGCCACTGCCCTGGATTTCCTCCAGACTGCTCCTCTGAAGGCAGGAATGATTGTTCGGACGCACGTGTCAGTACGGTGTGTTTGGCAGATGACGTTAAGACTCAGACGCTGGTTTATACTCAGGAACAGGAAACCGCAACAAGAAGTCTCAGTTAAATCAAGTTAACTA